CAAAGCCCAAACCACACCCATTGCATGGAGTTGATTCTAACTCACAGCGCCCCTAGGACAGAGTGGAACTGCCAAATAGGGTATGCAAGGCTGTCATCTTTACAGACTCACATTTCATCAATCAGAATCAACTCAATGGCAATGGCTTTTTTTCTCCCCTTTTGGTTTAAGGTTCATAGAAGCAGACCACCACATCTTTCTCCCTTGGAGCGGCTGGTGGATTCTAACTGCCAACCTATTGGTAGCCACTGATCCCTTAACCACTGCACCACCAGGGCTCATTTGCTGATATATTATGATGGATTTATCAGGAAGAAGGAGATAAACCTCTTTGAAATGTACACTGCAAGTCTAAGGGAGCGGGTTATCGCCAAAGAAGCATCGAACATAAAAATATGATGCACAATGTAGAAATGAATAGTAAACATTTTATGAGATGAAACGAAAGCTCATGAAACAGATACTCATTTTGAAGTTCCTGTTAACTTTCCTTGTAAACTTCAACTTTGCAATCACATCCGGTGTCACACATCCAAACATTCTGGAAGTGTTAACTGTTTACAATATTAAAGGACCACACCGGAAACCACTTTAAATTTAAGAAGTGAAAGTAGGGGGATCTGGAGAAAGAAAACAAGTCGTAAGCATGCTACAAGGCATGACAAATTTGTGAAACTGCGGTCCCTACTGAAAAATGGAGAAACAATCACCCTCTTCAGTCAACTGTAAAGGAACGTGATAACCCTCTCGTGAGGAGTCATTCTAGCTCATTAATCAACAGTGAAAGGGTAACCATGGGGACAGCGCGGCTGGGAGGACGATTCTGGACTCTTCAAGGGCTCCTGCCAGGAGACGCCCATTTCTCTTTATGGAAAGTGTAGTTGGAGCTGACAATGCTGGGGTGTCTGTCAGATTTAAATGCGATCTAAGAGATAAACGGAGTGCTGGGCTACTAACAGGAAGGCTGGCAGTTCAAATCCATCCAGAGGTGCCTTGGAAGACAGGCCTGGTGATCGGCTCCCACAAGGTCACAGACATGAAACCCCGAGGCGCACAGCTGTGCTGACCCACGTCGGGTGGCCGTGAGCCGGAATCAACTCAACAACTGATTAGCTGTTGCGCTGTTGTTGTTGGGAGATAAAGGTAAATGGTATCTTTGGTCAGTAAATTATGTCTGAGAGAAAAAGCACAATGAACTCAAGTTACTTCTTTTTCTTTTGCATACTCAAAAGATTTTTTTAAAAAATGTTGATTGTGATTTGGTGAAAGTTTACAGAGCAAATTCATTTTCCTTACTGCAATTCGTACACAATTTGTTTCCTGATGTTGACTGCAATTCCCCACAATGTAACAGCTCTCTTCCCACCTCCTCTTCATAGTTACCTCTTCCCTGTGTCCTTCCCTCCTGTGCGTTCCTGCTTCCTGAGCTGTCTCTCTGTGCATACACTGCCCTTCGGTTCTCTCACAACTGATCGCTCCAAGGAGTGTATCTACCTGATGTAAATGTTCACCCTATATGTCTGTCTATTGTTTGGCTGGAAGCCATGGGAGTGATTTCAATTCCAGGCCTAAAGGGTAACTAGGGGCCATCATCTCTGGGGTCTCACCAGGCTCTATCAGACCAGCAAACCTGGCCTTTTTTTACTTTTATTTTTATGGTTTTGAGTTTTGTTCCACATTATTCTCCCACTCTATCCAGGATCTCCTGCACTGATCCCTTTCTGAGTGGTTGACAGTGGTAGGTGGACACCATCTTAGTTCTTCAGGTCTCATGGTTGTATAGGCTGAGGTTCTCATGGTGCACTAATCCTTTGGACTAAGTGTTTCCATGCACCTTTGGTTTTCTTTGTTCTTTGATGAGAAGAGACCAAGTGTTGCATCTAGATGGCCACTGGTAAGCCTTTAAGACCCTAGAGAACTCAAATCCTTAAGAATTCAGACTCAGTGGATCAGTTGAGGCCAGAGGACTCCCTGTGACTACTGCCCTGAGATACTCCATATGAACCTTGAGTGGAAACTAGAGCCCGAGGTCACCTTCTAGTGAAATAACTGATCAGTGCACAACAGAAAGGGGATTACCCGTTGGTACACTGCTCCGTTAAAAAGCCATCCGTATGAGACCAAAAGGTCAACAACGACACTACAGCAAAGATGAGGAGGTAAGGGGCAGGTAGACCAGAGCACTGGAAATGGAACAACCAGAACGCAACGAGAGAGAAGCTGACATGTTATGAGAAAGCTAACTAACATCACGGAACCACTGGTGCCGAAATCGTCAATGAGAACGTCATTTGCTGTGTATACTTTCACCAGAAACACAATCAAATATTATTTTTTAAAAACGTGCCTCAAGTTGGAAGACTGGGCAATCTACTTCCACAGAGATACCGCCTTGGAAACCCAAGGAGGGGTTGCTGAGTTGGGACCGACTCAACAGCAGTTGAGTTTGGTTTTTGGTTTTAAAGATGGAAAGAAATTAAAGAGGACCTCGCTCCCGTAACAACAAAACCAATCACATTTGGCGTCTATTCTCTTTCAGCCAGTGCCAGGAAGTAGCGACTGTAACTGAAGCTGGAAACCCAGGAAGTGTTTGTTTGACTGATGAAAATGTTTGTGGCTTGACTGCCTTAAAGCTCCTTCTGTAAGCCATCAGGAGATGTCACTGCTGTGTACAGACTGGTGTATGGGACAGCAGTAAGTACTTACAGGAAGAACAAGGAACGCAATCCAGTGAATGACCGCTGCGAGATCCTGGCTATGGGATTGGCGTCCAGGATTCTGTAAAAACACATCACAAGCATTCCAAAGTCAGACGCTCTTGTGAAAGCAAATCGGGGAAAAAAGTCAAAGGCCCATGACAATTCTCCCTTCCCGCCACCTGCCCTGCTTTGGGTCCTTCCAGACTCTGCTCACCAGGTGCTTTGTTAGAGAACTCTTCCTCCAGCTGTTGGCTGGACCAGCTCCTTCCTCCAAATTTCCAGAAACCCCTGCAAGCACTTACCAACTCGTATCCGGGTTGTCTGTCTTCTCTGCCCCCACCCAGCGCCCACTGGACTTGATGACCCAAATTACACCCTTCCCCTCTGGATATCTGAGGCTCGGGACAAGCTGCATTGATCAGATGAAGTCTGGGGACCGTTTGTGGTTTGCTCTACTGATTGATTGCATGAAGAATAAGTGAAAAATAATTGGCAGGCCAACACAGGTGCTTCTTTGGTCTCATGGCCTTCAAACGAGGCATTGAATCAAGTCTTTACGAACAAACGAATGGATGTTAAATGAATGGGAGTCCCTCTCAGTGCTGTCGAGTCAGATCCAACTCATAGCAACCCCTCCTTGGGTTTCCGAGGTGGTATCACTACAGAAGTAGGTTGCCCAATCTTCCTTTTGAGGAGTGGCTGCTGGGTGTGAACTGCCAGCCTTCTGGTTAGTAGTCAGATGCCTCAGGCACTAGGCCACCAGAGGTCCTGTTGGGAGGCCCCAGGTGGTGTGAACGGTTCACATGCTCGGCTGGTAACCGAAAGTTTGGAGGTTTAAGTCCCCCTGGAAGAAAGGCCTGGTGATCTATGTCTGAAAAGTCAGCCCCTGAGAGCCCTGAGGTTTTTAGTGACACACAGGGGGCGCCATGAGTCAGAACAGACTTGACGGCATTTTTTTTTGAGAGCATTGAGGATGAAAGAATGAAAATACTTAGATATTCACAAAGATCTTTAACGATACATACTATTTTTATTAGAAGAAATGAGACTAGGGCACTTCCGGTAAGATGGAGGAACAGGCAGACAAGCGACACAGACCCTCTCCAACAAAGAAAAGAAAAACCAACTGACAGAGATACAGAAGATAATCCTGGAGCCCTGAGCTTTGAAAGGAACTATACAGAAGTGGATTAGGCACCAACTAGTGGAAAACCCTGAACGAAAACAGCGAGTACAGAGATGATCGGAGCTGCGGACTGTCAGCTATTCTGACGAGACCAACAGCCTGAATATTTCCAAGTGGTGGTGGGACCTGAGAATTGACCTAAAGATCAGTCCTGGTTATCAAGGGCTGCAGGGACAACTGCACTGGTGGCCTATGACTAGGAAGGGAAACAGTAAGGAGGGAGACAACCTGAGCTACGGACTTTCTGCTGTCTGGAGGGTGCAGCCATTTTGATTGTTTACATGTGGCAGCCATTTTGGATATTTAAAGTGACCGAGGGAGCAGCCATTTTGAATGTTTACAAGCAGCAACCATTTTGGATTTTAAAGTGATAGCATTCTCATTCGGATTCCAGGGAACAAGAACAGGCTCTGTTTGCCAGAGGCTGACAACAGGAAAGGAGACAGGTGATGAGTGTGTAAGTGCTGTCAACTAGTGAATAGAGGAGCACAGCACAGTACCCCATAGTAACGAAAAGTTACCTACAAGGAGCAACCAATAAGACTAAGCTCGGCTGCTGCATTGTAAATTTTGGTCAATGACATGAGACAAAGTATATGTGAACTGCTGTATGAAAAGTGAATTTACT